ATTGGTGCACTTTCTGTATACCTTTGATCGCGCATGGTTCATCTGATTTACTCTGAATTGTTGAGGGTTTGACCACCACCGATATCTTTACTGTAACTTAAAACATAACCAGGTGGATCCGCTAAGGATTGCCCATTATACGCTTTACGTATTCATACAGCCTTCAAGCTCATCCATGTAACAGAGTCCACCGCCGCTAGGTCTAACTGTATTACTCTACATAAAGATTTCAAGAATGAGATATGATTATTTTATTAGTTTGGAAAAAACACGATGTGCCTCTTCTTTGAACACAGAAATTGCTTAAGTATTCCAAAGCGCACTTTCGCTGCGAACACATAGACGATCCCCAAACGCGCGTTACTGATCTACTTTGGTTTAGACTACGGTTAAACGTTGAGGACATTCACCTTTTTTCCGTAATTTTCCGCCTACTCAAAGGCACTTATTAAACTGACTGCCAACTAATGTCGGCTTTGCGTACTGTGCTAAAGCATAAATACAGTCTTATCCTCAGAATAGGAGTTCTCCACCTCCATTATCTGGTAAAGTTAAGATAAGTTTAATACATCCGTGTATGAACATTTGCAGGAATTCGCGCAAACACTGCGGACATAACACAACAGAATCGATTGAAATATATTGGGATGGGACAAGAAGAGCGGAAAGGTTTCATCTTCAAGCAAGCAAATTTCTCGCAATCGATGTATCAAAAGGTTTGAGTCTATTGAAAAACGAGACACATAAGCCAGTATGGAATTGCGGTTCGAAGAGTTACGGGAAGATGAATCTTTTAATTTTGACCGCGTAGAAACGTTAAATGTTGTACTTGTCAAAACAGTGTGTATGGAGTGAGAGGGGTCGTTCAGTGTTGGACACGAAGTTTAGGCATGCTTGCTGGCTAAAAATGCAATGAGGGACTCTCTGTTTAGTCCCGAGTGTGGGGAAATACCTTTTAGTGATCCCACACAGTTACCTCTCATATTTTAGCATCGTGCCCAACTATTTGCATGGGGGCCATAAATTTTGTTGGGATGTAAGTTATGTAAACCAAAAACAGTATCAGGCCGAAGACTGATCATTTCTATACATCAGTGCTGGCACACAGGTTTTTGTACGGCGTGTCGGCCATTCTTATCTTCATTGTTCTGTCGTGTAGATAATCTTCAAACCAGTTGCTGTATCTGATACATAACAACAAACTCCCAACCATTCGCTACATATGTTCTGCTAATGCGTAATATCTTTCTTTTTCCTCATACAAGATGCGTGGATCATATGGACTCAAGGGAGTCGTATAAGACTGAGTGCTCTTATTTTTGTTTTTCGCACAGGCTACATCTACTGCTATTAATAACCAAGTTGTTTTGCGAGTTTCGATTCCCACCTCATGCTATGGTTATTCCGCAACGCAGTCTATTCGGTACGCGCTTAACCGGATGACTCACGTATCTTTTGATTCGGTCGTTGTTAAATCAAACATTCTGCGAGACTTGTCATTCACACATATTCATACCCGTGAAAAATCATCGTTCACTGTAACCAGAGAGCGTATCTAAACATAGATATGGTCTGCACCTAGGACCCTATTAGAGGAGACGAGAGTTACTAGGCAGGACCAGAAACTCGTACGTTTTCCTACTCTATTCCTGTGTCACACTTTAACCGTTGGTATTTGGTTCAGATGCGCGCGGTATCCATGTACAACGCACAAATCGGTGTGTGGGTGGTGGTCATGAAAGTCCGTATGCGTTCCGACGCCATACACATTTACATTGCTGCTTTGTGGCTTAGATGCGTAAATGCACTTTGAATAGGCGTTCTGCGTTTTTATACGCGCATAGAGTTAAATGCAGAGCAATCAAATGATATTGATTAAGTGTTCCATGAAGTTGCTTCCAATACACACATCTCGCACACATACGGACAAGCACAATTGTATGGTTCTGTTCCATCGTTACTCGCCAAGAGTGGTCATCGCCCAACCTTACCAGGAGCCGGACCCCTGACCATTTGAACACAGCGTCTTTTGCCAATAGGTAGAACGTTCGTGCGTAGCCCAAGGATGCTTGCAAATGATTGGTCTAAATAGGACGAAACAGTTGAATGTGCTTCTTTTTGATGCTATAGAAAATGCGTGACTAACCAGGTTAGTACAAACAACTCACAATCAATTAGGTCAAGAGCGTCCGGTAATCAAAAACCATTTCTAGGTAGAAGCATCTTCATTCATGGTCTGTGTTAGCACTGGATCGCAGATGTATTTTACATTTTTTGACACTTTTGAAAGTGATTACCGAAGTTGGGAATCAAACCAAGAAATCCGTTATCACCGCACCGTCACATTAACACTGAAATCCTGGGCTTCGCTGCAAATACTTGTGATTAAGGATACTCCTAAAAACATTACAAGTAAAAATACTTGCTTGGAAAAATCGCAGGGTCGTTTGTGCCCACCAACAACTCACGTTGTTAGTAGTTGAACAAAGACAGTGTTATTGCTATCAACACTTTGCTCGCGAGCTTATCCCACTGTGGTAAATCCAACAAAACTAACAAGAAATTTTACGCTAATGAATGTATTTTCCGGTTCCATGCAGCCGGTTCGATTCAATCTGAATTTTTCCAAGGCTTGGGATCATCTGCACCATCGGATACTACTATCCAAGCTCTTGCATTAACGGATCGACGACCCTCTATTAAGTTGGATTGCCCGCTGTCCACTTCGACGGAAATTAGTTGTCAGAGTTCGGAGTTCTTTATCGAACTTCATACAAGTCGAGTGTGGTGTGTCCCAAGGCTCAGCTCTAGGTATATGTTAGTTTTCGGTGTTTATTAATTACCTTGCACAAGGAATCGTTTCAAACTTCCTAATGTTTTCCGACGATATCAAAATCTGGAGCAGAAACCAGACGAACGCCGACCAATATGGGCTTCAGAGTGACCTATACATTATATTTTCGTTATATTGCATGCATGACTCCTGAGTGGAGATTTACAACAATTTGCCGAGAAGGGGCGAGTGCCCCGGTATAATACTACTCATTGGTTTTAAGTAGACTTCAAAACATTTGGGCGGAACCGCTTCCATGGTCACCGTGTGTTTATGTAATCCGACACTGAATATATGAAATATCAGGTTGCGGGAATCGTTTTAGGAGGACTGGGAGGAAGCTCCCCTCATATATGTATTATATACCATCAGTAATTATCGGAGGGTGGAGAAGCAGATATCCGAGATGTCGAGTTTTGTGAAGCCGAGAGTTGATAAGTATTTCGCCAAAGCCGGATATATAAATCCTCAATTGTTGAAGATAATT